CCCGACTCCCTCTACCGCCACCTCAGCTACAAATAGTTTTGCCCCGTTCGGCTCTTCACCACCTCCATCCAGACGTGTAACCCACTTCCCACGTGGACCCATCCGTACCTAGCGCTCTGTACTTCACATGTCCCACGTATGAAGACAAAGTCAAATTAAAGATACGCATGAGAAAAAAATGTGCAGGAATTTAATGCGGTCGGCCACAACGAAATCCAAGACACGTGGACGGTAGACACATGGACACATATAAACAGTACTAGGAATGACCGCCGAATATTTTACTGTAGGAATGAACACGTGGGGTAGAAAAATAGAGACAGTCTTAAAGAGGACTGCACTGCTCTTGTCTGATAGCATCTCGCTAACCATGCAGACGACAATGGCGGATCTTTTCGTGATCATCATCGGGATGGTGTAATACTCAGTCACAGCCCACTCAAATAGCCAATGCCACCAAAATTTAATGCAAAGAAGAACAATTCAATTTTGACACGGCAAACAATTACAATTCAATATTTAAATAACTAGTACAGTACAAAGATATCTTGCCAAATCTTCTTCAACAGCTCAAAGAGTCACTCTAATTGATATTTTGTGAATTTATATTATATAAAACATAAAATATTTATATTATAATTTATATTAATATATAAATATAAAATATATTTTTATTTTATTAAATTAATATAATTTATAAAATTTTAAATTATATTATTTTATATTATTTTTATATCATATTTAATAAAATTGACAATAGCTAACTTTGATTTGATTGAATTTTACAGTGTTTTTTTTTAATCGAATTTTTAGTTGGGTCCATTTTTATTTTTAAAAGTGGAGTTGAGTTTTTTTTGCAAATCCATCATGAACCAACTTAATATATATAATTTTTTTATTATTTATTTAATTATATATTTTATATTTATATTTTAAAATAATATTTTATTAATTTAAAATTATATCAATTATGATTTTATATATATGTAAATAGAGTGAGATTAAATATAAAAATTAATATTTTATTATTAAATTAACTTTAAATATTTATTATATAAAATTAAATTAAAATTTAAATAAACAAAAAAATTTTTGATTTGATCCGATGTCATCTTTACTATTTAACCTATTGCGTGATTCACATTTTTTTTTCTTGGCTCCTTCGAGACGGACGTTGGTGAAACTGAAAACAGCTAATTGAATTTTCTTGTTGAATTATCATTTTTTTTTTTTTGCCACCAAGCATGCCCCATTGATAAAAACTGTGTCAAAATTTTCGCTCCATATCCGTCACAATTCCTTCATAGCTCTTTCAAGTTATGGTTTTAGTTAATGTTAAGAACTGCACACATCTTCTCAGTGGATGTATCATCAGCTAGATGGGGTCGATAAATGGTTGGATCAAAGTCACCAATGGGGACAGTGCTTTGAACTTTTGAATGAAAAGGAATTAAGACTTTGTTTGCCGTTTCATTTTCGATCGATATGAAGTGACAACCAAATGATTGGATGGTAACATTTTTCCTACGAGAACGTCCATCGATGAACTAAAACCACAGTTTTGAACGCTGGGCCTAAAAACACCAACGTTTTTCGGATACATTAAAGCTTTAGATTAAATCTAAATATACGAATTTATGTCGTATAAAATATTAAAATTTTTTTATTCATATTTTATTTTATAAAAAATATATATTATAATTTATATTGATACAAAAATATATATTATATTTTTTTAATTCATTAAATTTATATATAATTATTATTAATATTTAAATTATATCATTTAGTATTTTATTTTTATATCATATTTATATTATATTATCGTATCATATTTTAAATTATCAAGTCTATTTTAAATCATTTATTGAAACTGTCAAATAAATTTGATAATTTAAAATATAATATAATAACATGATACAAAAATAATATGAATAAAAGATACGAAGATAATATGATTTAAAATTTAAAAATTTTTTTAAATATATATGATAAAACTAAAAGCTTATATTTTATATTTTTATGTTAGGAACTATGACAATCTATTTTCATATAAAATATAATATAAATATAATATTTTATATAATACAATAATAAGATTTGTGAGATTTACTGTCAAGTTGTTCTAGATAAATGGGATTACAGTTTTGGTCAAGAAAATCCAGTAAAGTGGACATTGAAATGGGCCCTTTCTTGGATAGATGTGATCCAAGCAAACATGTTCATTACCCAATTAATTGTTTTGTACACTTGAAATGGGCCAATTTTGATTGTTTGGTCAAAAAATTTTTGTTTGATCTATTAGACTTGAGTTTTGCAAAAATTAAGTTTTAAATTTGCAAAACAATCTTTGAATATCACACATCTTTTTTATTATCAAAATAAAATCTCATTGACATAACATTTGAAATTGTAATTATACTTTTTTTATATGTACTCGATGTTGTTAGCCTTTAAATTTGATCATCAAAATTAAAAACTCAGTACTATATTAATAAATCATACGACCGTCGATAATTATGCTCTTTATTATCATGACAAAATTTTATTAGCCTATAATAATGTTTAACAATCTAAATATACCATATATCATTATTGACAACATGTGGATCATTATTTGAAGACATATGATTGGTTTTATAATTATCGGATTTTTTATTTATTGGCTTAATATTAAAGTTGACGTTTGAAGATTATAATTCAAAAAATTTATACGTGTAATATATTTTAATCAATTAAATATAAAGATAGAAGATCCAATAATAGATTAAAAATAAAAAAAAAAAGATTGGTTTTATAATTCTTCTAGGCGGCGCAACTACCTTTATAATTATTTTCAAAGTCCCAGAATCAAGTGCGTCATTAGTTGTTTTTAATTTTTTGGTTCCCAGCAGACATTCCACTTTTAAGTAATACTACTTGTCTGTTTCGGACTGATAATAGCTATGTTATCAGCCAACCTCAAAATAAATGTAATAATTTTAAATACGATACGATAATATGAAAATAAAATAATATAATTTAAAATTTTAATAAAAATTATAAATAAATTTAATAAAATAAAAAAATTTATATTTTCGTATCAACATAAATTATGATACATAATTTTTATATAAAATATAATACAAATATATAAATTTTTATATATATTATCAAATCTACCTCAAAACCATATACATACTATAATTGATAAAATTAATAATCCTAATCCATTAATCATATAGTAATCTAGCTTTGATTCCCTCACAATATTCTAGAAATCTCTGAAAACCAAAACTAAAGTTGGTCACTTTCGATGATTCTGTCCTTGGCCGGCCCTTTACACGTAGAACAAGCACTGCGCTTCCAAATTAACTGCTAATTACAATCATGATTCGTACTAAACTAAAAACATATCATATGGTAGACCACTTGCCCTAATCAATATTGGATAAATTAATTATTCATAGTTTCACTTTTTTTCTCTTTTCTCTCTTATTTTTTCATTCGACATGATTGTCATCTTCTTCTTCATCATCATATATAATAATAATAATTGATTTTTTTTTTTAATTTTCTAATGATATGAAACATTCCCAGTTACAACCTGCAGCAAAACAATGATTTCTGATATCATAGTTGCTAACTGTTTTAAATATTTATAGTAGTGATAATAAAAGAAATTTTTATGAACAATGGAGTGTAAGCTACCATAGTTATATTTGTATGAGCTGTGCTCTTCATAATTTTCATGTAACAAACTAATATTTGTTTCTTCTTTTTTAATCTTAATACAATTTTTAATTATCTAAAAAAAAAAAAAGATATCCTAGGTATGTATGATAGATGTTTTCTTTTTTCTTTAAATATTTGAGGAATTGTTAATGAAACTTTATACATGTTGGAAAAATAAACTTTTGAATATTTCTTAGTAATATTGCTGCATAATTTAGTGCATGGTATCTCTATCTTTGAAGAAAATTAAGGTTATGTCGACACAATTTCTAGGGTTTTTTTTTTTTATTTTTTAAAGAAGATTAAGGTTAGACATTTGAAGTTGATTTTGATTTTTTTTTTTTTTTGTTAGCATGAGGCAGTACTGTATAGTTGGAATCATGGATTCCTGTATCTTAAATTTAGGGCAAAAAAATAAAAAGATTTTTGGCCACTGATATGTATAGAATTAGCTGTTGCAAAACCATGGATTCCTGGAGTTACATTAATGGATGTACATGTAATTAAATTCTAGTTCTACCTAAACTTCTAATTTTAAGCCTGTGGGGATGCAATATGACAGAAAACTAGCTAGGCTCTGGTTGGTGTGTGCAAGAATCCCCGGGGAAGGCAGCCTTTTGATCAAATCTCAGACTTGGATCACTGACAAAGTAATTACTCCCATAATCCACATGAAAGGCTTGTATTGAGGGGAATACAGGCCAGATTGTTGGGCTTTAATTGGTGCGTATAGATCATCATCATTATTTTATTGCTCTCTCATTAACCAAAGCCAGCACTAGATAAGTCACTCAATTTGTCATATTATCTTTCAGTAGATCTTACTAAAAACAGTTATCTATTCAACACCTGTATTTGTAAGTAGGCTAGGTATGGACTCCCCAGGATGATTGTTATCCTGGTACAGAAAGATTACAGTGGAAAAGCACCCTGATGCCATATTTATATATCTCAATTACTTCAACCAATCATCCCTCCCTTTCCTCTCTATATATACGTTCTTCTTCTCATTAATTTCTCACACAACAACTCTCTTCGGGGTTTTTGTTAACTCATCCTCTTTCTATATATATTTTCATTCATATTTTCAGATTAAGGAAGAATCATAGCTATAATATTCTCCTTTCCTAGCTTCAATTTGATAGTCCTAGATCAGCTAGTTTCTTTCATTCAATATAAGTAGAAGGATTATGTGACTAGATTTGATATAAGTCAAACCTAGTCTAGATAGCTAGCTTTTTCCTTTTTCCTTTTCCTTTTTACTCCCCATGTTCTTATTCTTAATTTGCACTTTGGGTGTGTCTTTCTTTATTGTTATGAAGTTGCATAATGATTTATTGGGATGGGTTTGTTTGCTTTTTTTTTTTTTTCAGCAGTATTGATTTTACTAGATGGATTATTTTCTGCTTTAAAGGGTTAGGGTTTTATCCATTTATTTGCACTTGCATGGGGAGATCTCTTCAAGACCCATCAGTCAGTGTCTGCAGATGCGGCATCATCATGATTCACAAACTAGGTAAGGGCTTTTTAGGAGGCCAGGTGGTGGCATACCACAATCACCTCCTTTACTTGAAAGTTTCCTTTCATATTAATGGGAATCTTGATGATGCTGCATCAGCAAACATTTTGGCTACTCTCACTGTTCCATTTCAAATAAAGGAAGATTATTCCCAGTTTGATCAAGGTGAAAGTCCTGTTACAGAGCATGCCATTCGGACAATATATATATATATATATATATATATATATACACACACACACACACGCACGAAAGGTAATATATAATTTCTCTTTAACATCTATCATAATCTTTTGACCGATTCTACTCATGCCCTTGATTCTCTTCTGCTAAAACAGGCGACTGAGGGGGAGGGGGGTTTAGTTTATGGAGAGCCAGGAATCTAACCAACTTGAAGATCTTGATTTACCCTTTTTGCTTTTAGCCAGCTGCAACCTATTGCAACTATTCTCTTCAGATATTGGTAAATAAAATTGTATGGTTCTTCCTAAGGAACATCCTTCCTCAGGTTGGTATATATTTGAGTATGAAGGTTTTAATTTTACTTCTTATAATATAATAATTCATTTATACATTACTTTGAAATTGAAAACTTAGAAATTCTACCCTTTTTGTTAACAAATTCAAGAATTTATGCTGAAATTGTGAACTTATATAATAGTTGTCACAAAGAGGATTCCCAGTCCTAAGCTCTCTTCCTATTTTCCTAGGAAAGGTTCATATTTGTCATCAAAAAACGTCTATATAATATTGCTGCCTAATTATATATATCTTCAGCTTGCTACTCGAATGTAGATGATGACCTTGTTAAACACCAAATTAAAGCAGGAGGCAGCTGGAAGATTTCTGAAGGTTATCTCCATTCTAGTATGAAAAGTTACAGGGAGTACAAGTAAGGGGAGGATGAACATTAATATACTTTGGCAACAAATCAAGATTAGTCAGATAATTTGAAAATCATAACATATGGAAAGCTCTATAAATTCAACCCTTTGTGTGTTTTAGCATTACACCCCATTGGTGTTTCTTGCTTTTAGTTTTCTGCATGTTGTTTATTGGTTTTCTAGTAAAGGTTTTCTGTCTTGTGAGAAATTACTCTTTTTTTTTTCTTCTAATGCTTGAATAGTCACTGATCTCTAAACATCAGTAATTGTTTCTAGCTTGGTGTGGCAGCAGGTGACTGGCAGTTACCCAGTCCCCATTGTATGACAGGTGAGTGTGTGGACATAAGCTAGCATTGGCAAAAAGCTTCTCAATATGCTTTACAATTTGTGACAGAAAGGGGGTCCATGTTGAAGATGTAATAATTAATATAGCAATTGTTTTCACTTATAAGCCTTTTGATGGAGAAGGCTGAACCAATTAGCTGAATATGTAGGTAGAACCAACTGGCAACTGGCATCTTGGTGTTGTTGACAGTAAAATAATATTGCTGATAGTCTAACCTCTCATAGGAACATGCCGCATCTAACCTGGGAAAAATGAGCAAACAATTTACAAATAATTTTTTTTCCCTTTTCTTATGATGATCATGTAAATAGTAGTTCAAAAGATATCATATGTAGATTTTAACAACATATGAAACATCTATATCTTCTCCCCATTGGCCCAAGCATAGACAATTAGTATAATTAGTTGCTTAAACTCACAAGTTATATGCATCATATCAAAATCTGATTTCCCTTTGATATCATAATACATATCTTCATCCTTTTTATCATGCATGCCTTATGCATATACACATAGACATACACACATGCATATAAACACATGCATATCTAAGTGCTTATATGATTGTGAATGTTTAGCATGTATGGTAACCTCGGAGCTGAATCGTGGAACAACTTGAAATGTAACCATCTTGTTGTTGGTTCAGATTTCAGCATTTGTGGTAAAACTAAGGTTTAAGAATATATCGTACACTGTACTTGCTTGCAAGAACAAGCTAGAAGTCTTTAACATAGACAGTACTTCAGCTTCATTCTTTAGCTTGTGGCAATAATGAAGTCTGCAGAAATTCCATGAATGAACTAGAATCATGGTTCTGATCAGATTCACCCACATTCCTTCTAGATTTTCACTACATAACTATAACAAACACGCACAGATTTCTTATTGAACCACAGGAAACTCCATTTTTAAAAATTTTTTGTTCATATAAAAGAAGGCAAACCCAGTAGTAATAAGTACTCTGACAAGAGGCTAACAAGGTAGAGGTAGCTTGGGATTTTTACTGTTTTAAGAAAATTAGCACAAGCTTTTCTGACTAGTTTGTCAGGCGTGGCATTTGATAATGGATCAAAATTGGGCCCAAAACTGTTGAAACATTGTGGACCTGAACTCTCAAACTATATGTGGAGCCCAGCTCTCTGCAGTAGAGCTGGATTCTGGGGTTTAAACATGTTAAATTCCATGTATTTCTTTAGGTTTCAACAAATTTCCAAAGGAAAACAAAAAAAAAATGTCAGACCTGATTTTCCCTGAAATTTATAGGCTATATTTATGAAAAATGTTTTGCAAAAATACACAAAAAAGAAAAAAGAAAAACAATGGGCAAAATGTAACGTCCGCAAGATGTGAACAAACAATGTGAAAATGTGGTCTGTTCCTCTGAATTTATAGATTTACATTAATGGAGGCTGTCGACATAAATTTATTTGATGTTTGACCTGTTTTTAATTCAAGTTGGACCCATTTTTTTTTTCTTAAAAAGATATAAAAAATTAAAAGAAAAATTGAAGGGTACTACTACTACTACCACAATTTCTTCTGCCCATGCTTGTGCAGCTCACATGTTTCCATGTGGGACTCCCAAATGTTGATATTCTCAAACCCACATGATCATTAAGGGGGAAAAAAAAATCTTTGCTAAACGCTAAATACACTAAAAAAAAAAAAAGCAGTTCAAAAGATGCATTGTATTGCAGCCACAACACGCCATGTGATTTGATTTTGACCCATCCTTACAATGTTTGACCATAAATCTACAGTGTTTTTTTATATGTATAAACATAATTAAGTTCTTTATAACCTGTAAAAGAAAAGGAGAGGTGAAGTAAAGGGAAAGGAAAACCCGAGTTATAGGATCTTTGCCTCTTTGGGGTAGTACAAAATTTACAAATCTTGAAGTTCATTTGTGTTTGAGATACTTTTACCATGTAAGCATGAAGGTATCTATTGATTGAAAACTTGTTGAAGAGAGTAATTTTTAGCAATGACAGTAAATTAAAGTTATTGTAATGGCTGAAAGGCCTTCCTTGGATGTGAATAGTCTGACTTGGAAGGATGGGCATGGGCTACAACTACAAGAAGGGAAGATACATATGTAGAACTGTAACCTCTCAAACATGAAGTTGTGGAGAGAAGAGCAAAGAGGCCCCATTTATAGTTTGTGGGACTCCATCAAGAAGCAGAATGGCACTGTAATGCATATTCCATTCACCAAACTGCAAAAATTATTTGAGTCTTTAAACCTAACCCTGTCTTTTTGTAGAACAATGGACACAATATCCTTATCACAAGGACCAGCTAACAACGCTCTGACCCTCCCCCCCCCCCCCCCTTTTTCCCTTTTTCCTCTCTCTTATGTGTGTGCTTTTTGTGTGATATGAACTTAAAATACTGACATTATTATAGAGCCCCGTACGACAATTGTGTCTATAAATATCAACGATGGAGCTCCAAGAGTAAGGAGATTCAAAAATCGGGCAAAGTCTTATACGAGAAGTGGCATTTTAAATGCTAAATAAACACTGATCAAATCAAACAAACAAAGCTCAAATTCTAAGGCCCTACTTCAGTATATATATGAGAACATATAGCCCCACTACTGTATGCAGCACTGAGAATCCTTCTCAATCACATCTCCTTCTCACTCTCGTTTTTTTTCTGTTCATCTCTCCCACGTGCAGACAAAGAGGTTATCAGGTTAAGTTAAAGAGATCAAACTCTGAGAACTGTCTATCCATTATTGCTATTGTTGCAGCTTCCAAGCTTATTACATGGATGAGAAGTGGAAAATATCAAAGAAGGAAGCTTCAGGTGCCCATTGTTCCAGTTCTTCAAAGTTTCCTCTCACCAGGAGTTTTTCAGCAAAGAGCATTTCTTCCAAGTCTCCTCTTCTTAGGAGTTCTTCACAGAAGAGCTCATGTTCTCCATCTTCTTCATCATCTAAATGTTCACTGCCTCGAAGTTTTTCACAAAAGAGCTCTTCCATTTCGCGTAAATGTAGTAGCTTGGCCAAGGAACAGAAGGCAAGATTTTACATTATGAGGCGCTGTGTTGCCATGCTTGTTTGCTGGCATAAGCATGGAGATTCTTGAAGGAAAAAAGAGATGCAGGGAAGGTTCCTTTCCATTTTCTCCACTCATTTATGCAGGATGGTTCTTGGATTTTGTTTGTTTTGAATTCATGGATTTCATCCATTGGATAAAGAACAGATAAATGTCGCAATTTTTCTTGCTCAACTTCATTTTTAATTAGTCCAGTTCAGCTTGTAATTATAAATGAGAGAGCTACAAGTTTTATAGTTGTAAGGAAAAACTATATCAACAATTAGATTTCTGTCAAATCTTAAACCAGCAAGACTTTTTTTTCTAATCTTTTCTTCCTTCTTTTCCACCCTGTGATTTCTTTTTGTTTTCCCCTTGAGATATTAATCAAAGCAGATCTCAAAATCAGGTCTTCTTAAATTTGATTTTCCTTTTTGGAGTGGCTTTTGGTTGGGTATTTTTGTTCCAATTTTCTTCTTTGTTTGTTTGTGTTGATGACAGAGAGATTCCTTTCAGCTGTTCCAGTTGCCAATATAATAATAGGACATCATTGGATATTGGATCTGCATTGGGAATGAAAACAATCCTTTTCCCTTTTAGAAAAAGGGGTGGGAAATGAGTATTCTGTAAAATAGAAGGCAAACCTTGGATTGATCCTTAAATAAAACTCTGGCTCTTTTCCTTTCAGTTCTGATCCCCCACTTTTCTCAATTTCATATTTCAACTCACCAAGTCAGCCCTGAAACTGTTTTTTAATGTGCTAAAACTCAGTAAATGGTGAATGATAAGCTTGAGAATCAGTGAAAAACTTTTCTTCAACACTTCATTGGAAGGAGTAGCACATCCTGACTGCTAAGTTTTCCAAGTGTAAGGCAACAAAACACAAGGAAAAATCTTTTAAACTCAAAACACACTTAAACCAAGAATTATGTCTGAGATGCATGTAATATGGTCATTCATCATGAAGCTCCATCTATCATCCAAGTTCCAGCCTTCCCCGAATAACATTTTAGCTAAAATTGGTGACGGTCATTACTTCAAAAGAAGGGGATCTCACTACCATGACGCATTAGAAAATTTGTTAAGTTGTGTTCAAGCTCTGATGACAGTAAGGAAATAGCAAGATGAATTGACTACCCCTTTCCTCATTCAAATTTGCCTAGGGCAATGTTTGTCTGATAACATAGATTAATATGTTCTTCCTCCTGTTTTTAACTTCCTTGCATTGTTGCAACAACTTCATCTTCATTAATGCTAATGGTGGTTCTGCAATTAGCACCAGGATTTTGCGAATATGGATGTGTTTTAACTTTCAGCTATGGTTTTACATAAAAAGCATCCATTAGATTAATAATGATCTTTGGTGTCCAACTACCTAGGCTCAACACAAAAGTTATTACTATGAATGAACCTCCGTACAAAGTTGAAAACAACTGACAGCAAATTTATCATATTACTTCAGTGCATTTGACTCCTGAGCCTTATGTCTTTTAGGCTACGAGGGAGAGGATTAGTATAAGTAACTGTAACTGTGATGATCAACACGATTTCAACCAATTCAAAAGGCTGTAAAAGCTCAAATTCTTTCAATAAACTTTAGATCTTAACCACGATTGATGTAACTTTGCAAATATAGAATTAACAAATCCAAAATCTTTTATGTGTAATATCAGAAAAAATAAGCAAAAATATCAATTTCTCTAGCTGTAGCTGAGCAATCTTGGTAAAATTAGAAATTAGCAAGAAAATAAGAAATGGGATGCCGCATACCTCATGACCAAGGCCCTTCCAAATAGCTTGATTCATGTGTTTCCCGAGAAAGATTGGCCACAGCAGGATCAACAGTAATCTCACAATGGGATTTGCATGGAATTCTTTATTGAAAAATATCTAAGAAAATACAAGGATTAGTAAGGAATTTCTTCAGGATGAAACACGAGTCAAGAATATTAAAGGAATCAGGGAATTCTTATACCAAGCAGGGCGATTGGAATCAATGACTGAATCCAATAGTCGGGAACAAAAGAAAAAAGAAAGTTCACCATATATTATTCCTGTGATGAGATTAGAAAGCTTCAAAATTGGCTAAGAACAAGACATGAAAATTGGCATTGTTTGTTAAAAAAAAGGGAACTGGTAAGGACTAATAATTTCATCACTGCTCTCTTTGGATAGCCAGTTGGCAATACAGCAACTTTTGCCTAAAGTTTGGATTCAAACATTGTGATCAACATCAAAAAAATCAACAAAATAATCATGTCTTATCAGCTACAGGATTATAAGTTACTGACAAATAAACTATTAAGACAGAATTATTGCGTTTCCAAATCAAGTAATGCAAGTAATTTCGAATTTGTTTTCAATTGACCATAATTAACAAGTGTAATATTTTTGCAACCTGAATTATTGCTCCAACAACTGCATTGAAACTGTGGGTCGTACAAGTACAAAAACTCCACCATTTTCTTGGTGAAGGACTCTAGCTAGATCTCCGAGACAGGCTGAGAAAACAAGCAAAGAACCATATGTTCAATGCCAATGTTAGCTTTGGATATACTCGTAGACAATTTGTCTTAGGTAAAATACAGCATAACAAAACCATTATACAAGTTACAAGAAAACTATCCCAAAGAACGAATTAAGAAAGGAACAAAAATGGAGAAATTAAAATTATGCATAGCAGGGTGGATGCTACAAGTCCGAGTAAAGGACAAAGGTCAACACTTGGGAAGATCAGAATGTGGAGGAGGCAGCTTCTGGTTAGGGAGCTTTGCATCCAAGACTATCCATGTCATTCCTAAGCCCCAGCTCAGATGAACATCGAAGTGACAGTGCATAAGCCAAACTCCTGAATCATTTTAATTAAAAAAATATTTATCAGTAAAAGAAATATTCATATTATGTTTGAAATAAATTGTATAATCTCAATTGTCACCAGGATTGTCTGTTTGAAAATGGATTGCCATCCCACCAGAAGGCATACCAACAGCGTTTCTTTCAGCAGGATCAACCAGGTTAAACTTGGCAGGGTTATTGTTAGGATCAAAGTTGCCAAAACCCTGACAAACAACATAGAAGTTATAGCCATGGAGATGGAAAGGATGGCTCTGAGCACCCAGGATTCCGGTGTCCTGCAGGACTACTTCCACACTTGTAGTGAATGGTACCACCACAACTTTAGTGCCATTAGTTACTAGTGTGTTGTTAGGCGGAGTACCTGTATAATTGAATGGATCAAGAGGGACGGTTGGGAAATCATTGGTGTAAACACCGTTAGATTGGGAGAAGTAGGATTGGAGAAATGCAGTTGTTGGAAGAGCAAAAGAGATATTGTTCATAGAAGCAGCAAATTTTGTGCCATTAGGTCTCTGGCAGGATTGGTTTTTGGGGCAGAGGCTGCTTCCAAGACCAACTGTGAAGAAAAACTTTTTGTCTACTTTTTGTGGGACATTGACAGGGAACTTTGTGGTGGCTAAACTTCGGAATTTGCTTGAAAATTGGCAACAAAATTTGTAGCATTGATAGCGGGCAAGCCTGGTTTAAGAAGTGGACGGTTCTTCAAACTGGTGGAAGATGAGGAATTTGAAGGTGTTTCATATTCAAGAATACCGGCTACATTGGTATGTCAAAGGTACCATACCAGTGAAATATGGTCAGGCTAACATGAAGAAAGTGGCATTGGGAGCTTGAGATTTGGTATTCAGGAGAACATTGGTGGTTTATCCAGGTGCTATCACCATTGTATTGGTTTCAAAAGGCTTGACATATACTGCACCAGCTTCCACAACAGTGAAACTGTGATTTGCAGTGTTGAAGAATAGCTCATCATTGAGTGCAGCATTGATCAACCTAAGGAGATATGTTTCAGTTCTCCAGGTTTACCCTCAGCTTATATGTATCTATAAAATACATACATAATCAAAACCCAGTATAAGAATTTTGCTGTGAATTTAATGGGCTATTGAATTTGTGACCAAAGGGATAAAATAATATACATTGGTCAGAACAATTGTACAATGGGCCTGAAGCCCATTTAGATTGTAGGCATCAGAAAAATTCGGGCCAGCTCCTGTTTAAAGAGACCGATTGATGACAGCCTCAGGATCTGCATTAAGCCACTCTGTTGTAGTTTGACAAGCCGAATTCATTCAGTTAATTGCCATCAAAGAACATCCCAATTTGCCACATGAAGAAAAAATTGATGATTTGCATAAGATTACCAAACAAGATTGGGACTTCTTTATAGGGTTTAACAAATGGGTAAGATTCATTGCGCAGAGGCGGGATGATAAGTGGCCCGTAAACAGTTGCTCTAAGCCATGAAATGTGAGCATGCCAGAAGAGAGTTCCTCTTTGTCCAGGAATGGAGAAGTTGTAAACATAAGACTGGCCAGTTTGAATAGGACATTGTGTGTGATACATGAAGGCCCATCTGCGTATACACTAAATTTGCCATTCTCAAAAGGGTTATCCATTGAAATTAAAACATGTATAATTTTACAGAAATCCAACGGCTTCATAGTTCATACCAATGAATGCTGATATTGTTAGGAACATGGTTAACTGCTTAGTATAACACGGGGTCCAGGGAACTTCCCGTTGACTGTGACAATGCTCTTAGTGTGGCACAAGCGGGTGATATTTTTCAGCTTCTTCTGCAAACGGAATTGAGGACTATGTTACTTTCACTTCACAAGTTATCTAAAGCAAACAATGCCGCAATGCATACGTTGAACTTGTAGTGCCTGGTGACACCTGCATGCTTTGCATTGACAACCTCAGGATAGGCGATGAGACAGCCAACAGCAACAAGGAAGGTCATGAGACATGGTGGTGATAAAAGAGCTGAAGCACCCATGTTGCTAGGCAAAGTAAAAACATGTAGGAAACATAATATTGATTAAGTCTTTGAAGTTTAGCTCATAATTTGGAGTGATTCATGTGTTCAAATAGAGACATTGTACAATCTTGTGTCCATGTTTGGTTGATTGGGTAATAAGATGTTACAGGTTTGAGAATTCAGAGAATTACAAAACCATGACCCAATCTTCACTGGAGTATCATTAAAATCAATTAATCTTTTGTCCTTGTTGATACACAAAATTTCACCATTCCTAACCTTAATACAGCAAATTGATGATGATACCTTCTCCTAGAGAGATTTCAAGAAATTGTTTCAATGGGGAGATAAACAAAAGAAGATTCTCAAAAAAACCAACTTAAATTACATGCATATAAAGAAACCAAGTGAAAATACATGAAACATTTTCCATAGTTATTTAAAAAAAAGTTCACAATGATCAGTCTGGTTAGTAAGAGTGCATCCTCTACCTTTTCTAACCTGATGATTCCAAACTCTCAAATTTTGCTTTAGGGATAATAAAAGAAAATTCTTTATTAAGATTAATGGAACCTTTGAAAGACATATTCATAGAAAATCATTTTACTTCATACGTATTACCACTGAAGAAAACAGTGAAAAAAACATCCCAACCCATGTGCATATGAATATTGTATCTTTTGACCTAATATTTATGATCATGAGAATATATTTCCACATATGCCATCTGTTATTATGATACAGCTAGATATTTTTCGAGGTCTACTCTAACCGTTAAATCTTGGTGATGAAGACAAATCAAAAGAGTTACTAGCTACCATCTTCCCACAGCTTGCCAATCATTTACGTTCATGATGATGATCATTTTCATGAAAGATTCACTGAGGCATGCACATTTGGTTGGTGATGGCAGCTCTCTCAACCAAACAGAACTCTGGGGAGTCGCAAAGCTAGTGGGAAGTGAAGGACTTTTGACCCACCTCCCTTTTAAGCAAGAATAGAAATGATTGGAAAGTTCTAACCGTAAATAACTAAGCAAATCACCCAAGCTTAATCATCAAGTTAAAGATAAACCAGATTTAGCCAGAGTATATGGCTAAAAGGGTTTTGTGAAAATAGTTCATTTATCAGATTTTATTTGTGATTAATAGAGTAATTTTAATGTATAATTTTATGTTCTTGCAATTAATTATCTGGTAGTATTTGATATTTGATGTTGCATTCATTGTGTATCAGCTTGTTGATGAACAAGCTGGCCAAATATGTCGAGACAATTGACACTTGCACAAGTTTTTTTCATTAATGATGTGATGATAACAAAATAAAGGTGGTGTTTTACAAACTCTGAAATTCATGTAATTAGTATATAGAGAATTGAAGAAACATACAAATTTGTAAGTAAACAGTTACAATATTAGTCCCAGATCATAACAACTGATATAACTGCTACTCCAAGAAGCACAGCAAGAAACTTGAAGAACGGAGTGTCAAAGTAACATTGAGCTTGTGGTTTGAAGCCCTTGGCAATAAGATGATTGACGGCAACATAAATGAAAACTCCACAAGCAAGTCCCATTGAGATTGCGTACATCCAGTCAGCTACTTTCCCTTGAGTTGTAGCATCAATGGCAATCCCGATCCCTACACCAATGGGGCTAGAAATAGCAAAGGCAAAAGAGTAAGCACAGGTTAACAGAAATGGCCTCTTCGGTAGCATTCTGAGAAGTGCAATGCCCATCGCAATGGCCGCAAAAATTTTGTGCAGCGAAATTGTCCAAAGATTCCTCCATGCATCTGCCTTGGTATCTGAAAACAAATAATTTATTTCAGCAAGGAACATATTTCTGAACAGACTTATCACTAATGGGTTTTAAATCTTAGGGCTGAAACTTGAAAGCAAGTTGATTAAGTTTGTGCAATTTTCAACTCGGATTCATCTCATAGAACTGTTTATGCATAGCTTGTTGAATGAAAGCTCTAGAAACTTACCTGAAACACCAACGGCAATGCCCTCAAAAACTGAATGAAAACACAGGGCGAGAATAAGAAGTATGGTATCCCCAAAAGACGTTGTTCTCAAGAAAACTGGATTGGCATCCATTCCTATATCTTTAGAATGATGCTCATTACCAGTTCTGCCTTCTTCCACTTGCACTCTTTCTCTTTCACCATTTGATGTAACATAGGTGACTATGCAATCACCAAGCATGGTGAGTAGAAAGCCCGCCGATGCCAGCATGAATGCAAGAGGGTAGGTGTTGGTCGTGAGATCACCGAAAGTTCCATTAGAATCGCTCAAGAAATGAATCAAAGAGGTGGCCAGAAAAACCCCACCGGCAAACTGTGTGCCTAAAAGGATAAAATTTTCGTTCCATCGATAGAAGTAGGGGGAGACGCCACCTGCAAAAGTGCTCACTAGAAGAATGATCAAGCACCATACTTTCACCAAGATTAAGCCCTTATCATGCAAGTTTGCATGGTCACCGCCACCCTCGTCCCCTCCATGACCTTTGGTTTTAGAGAATTGTAAGAGAAGGAGAAAAACAATCAGGGAAGTTGACTTCAGTTTTCCCGAGGAAGAAATTATAGCCATAGATAAGAGTTGATGGATATTTCTTCCCCTTTTTTCCTGGATTGGTGAACGTTAGTTATGATATAAGCGTGGAAAAAAGAAATTTATATAAAAAAATGAAAAAAAAAAAAAAAAAACTAGATTTGCTCGCCTCTTAATTTGCAGTACAGCTTTGACATTTTATAGTTTGTACTATGGTAAAGTTGTACTACAGACGGTAAAATTTGTTAATTCCTGTTTGTTGTCGTTCAGACCAATCCGTCAAGGACGGCCACAACAGGATTGGGCCAGGTTTCACTTGGAGGACAAGGACTCCACCCTTTTCCAATGAGCTGATCCTGTTCAAACAAAATGGGTTTTTTCCTTTTTTTTTTTTTTTCACATTAAAAAATTTGCATCACCAAAATTTCCTTTTACCTCAACTATTACCATTTACCCACTTCTCGGGAATAATCAATTTGCAGCCTAATCTCCAGGCTTCAATTCAGACTACGTGAAGAAGATCACCCAAATATCCTTTTCTATAGTATGAGAAAGATGATGAAGAATATATATGACATAATAAGTGATGTTAATGAATGATTAAACAAACACTAGTGGTGCAGCTAATGCAAACCCCTCCAATGGTTCTAAGAAAGCATTTTCGTATTGCTTCGTTTTAGAGTTAAAGATGGAGTCAAACCAAAAATGAAGCATTTCATCATGTCCAATTAGGCGTGCAGAAAAAATGTATGCCATCATAATATGTGACATGTGGTGAAGTCCTAATCTTCCACAACTACCACCAGAATTTATGACCCCAGACAAAGTATATTAGATGAGATCATATGGAATTTTTTAGTTTAAAGTTACAGGGCTAAGTATGGTGAACCTAAAACCTCGTTTTCTTTCATGAAGCCTAAAGATAAATAACATAATGATCATAGAGGATATTTACAGACACAGCATAAAACATTATTTAATGCATACTTTAATGCAACTGCAAACTTGGACATACTTTAATGCATATACAGAGAGTATTACTTGGGAGTCAAGTTAAACCATGTCTGAATCATCTGATTCACTCTCCCTGTTTTCCCGCCAGCTTGACCCCATTCTAAACTTGCATACAGGACAGGTGCCTTGTTGCCGCAACCATGTATCGATACAGCTAGCATGAAACTGTAAGAAAGGAAGTTATTAATATAATAAATATCATATAATAGAAATGTGATCAAGATAACCACCATTTACAACTTGGTATTATATGAAAGATTTGGGTTTGGGATTTAACTATAAGCATCTCAATGAAGGACTAAGTTTAAAACCACAAGGATGCCGGCACACGAAAAAGGATCAAGAATCATCAAGATTTCAGATATGTTTGGGCAATTATTTGGAAAAAAAAAATGTCAAGGGCAGACTTCAGAATGATAATGATAAAAGGTCATCCATTTGAGTTACGAAGACAGACATTTACACTTTAAACAAGTCAGGAATTCACAGCCACATGTAACTATGAAACATTTAGGCATAAGAATATTTTCTCAATTCACGCCCATGAAAAAAAAATTGCACGAAATTGATCCTAATATGCTGTTTACAATGTTTATGAATGCAAAACTATTCATAAACGGAAAGATCGGAGGAAACACTAAAATTGTTACACTACTCAGAGATGGAAAATTTGCATATGATACAAAATTTCTAGCATTCAATGTTCAACAACATATATCATTGTTCATATGCAAATCGGAGGCTTGCAAAACCTTGAGCCTATGTCCAAGAAAGCGTTAGCTTAAATTGTTGTCAAGTCTATATAATTCACTAGAACAGTCACTGTTTCACTATTGATGTGACATGTTAATTAGTGTAATTCATTTGACATAGATATGATGATATAAGATATTGGGGGAAAACAGACAACAGTTTTGACAAACGAACGGTACAACTTTTTTTTTTATAAGATGAACAGTACACTTTAAAATCGTTAGATGACAACAGAAAACATGAGCAGACTGTAAAAATAGAACCTGATGCAAACATGGCAAGCTCCGAACAAGCTCCCCCCTGTTAACTTGATCCAAGCAAATAGTACAAATTAGTTCATCTTCTGAAGCCTTCATACTCCCATCAGCCTTCCTAGAATCGTGCTTTGGCTGCAATATTTATTTGTGACTAAGACTACAAAAGCCATCCATGAAGCATTGCATATGAAATGATTCAGAAAGATGCACAGACACAGAAAATTTTTTATTGAACACTTTAATGCCCTCTCCGATTATGTCAACTTTGAATATGAGATGTACTCAATGACTTGTTATGTTACCGAGACCTTCTTTGAAACATATTAAAGCTTCATGAAAATTTATTACTGCTTGAAAACTGAATGATCAACCACGGAAGGAATTGCTTGAGTGTGGTATGTAATCACCATTATTTTCTAATTGATTAGAAAAAATTATACTTAAAAGTACCTCAACTGGCACTGACGAAGATGATGCCTGCTGCAGTGATGATCCAGCACTGAAAAAAACAACAAGAAAAATTGATGCAACTATGAATTCAGTCAAAGGAAAAATAAGCAAGCCCTGCATACTAGTTCACAATCAAAGCAAGCTATAAGTAGTAAAATCCCTACTACCTAAAGAGAAGCATTTATGAGTACCTCTCTGGGCCAGGGACCTTGTACTTGTGCACAGGTAAGGCATTTATCTCTTCCTCACTCATTGAATGAGTTGTGGAAGTATTATCAGCATCCAATGCTCTCAGGGTTTCATAATCTGGAGCAGAAAGAAAGGAATTATTAATCTTCAGAACACCAAACTAGTTACAACCAAAGCTCTCTTTGCATATCAGTCAATGCATGTTAAACCCAAACCATAGAATCTTATAAGTGAATTTTGAAAAGGCACTGCACCTAGGTCATCAAATTCACGGTCAAGAAGTGCAAGTTGGAGTCTTAGTCCTTGTAAGCGTCCCCTTGTAGCAAAGGCAATTGACGGTGGCAAGTGCAAACGCAACTCGGTATGACCAAGCAAACCACTAGCTGCTGCAGCGTGAGCTCGGGCCTGAGCTTGAAGTTGCTGACAAGTTGCATACATCCTCAGGCTCGTAGCCATTAAAAAGACACCCACTACTACCCAAAGCTGCATACACAGACACACAGGATACCTCCATGATTGCCATGTGTTAATAGATACATCACCATGCTCCCAGTGAATGTTTAGAGAGTGCATACCAGAAAGTTTGGTGACATTTGGTGAGAGTTTAAAATCATGAACAGCAAAAGAACTGCTGAAAACAAACAGATAAGAACCGATTAGAAATGCAAGTTAAAGATACAATAAGGAATGATTAAAGACAAAAGTTAACAGATGCAATGGAAGAAAACATAAGGAACTAGAAACATTACCTGTAACAAGAAATGCCAGTGAATTGGAATTAACTGGTCGAGCAGCATGTATACGCTGAAAAAGAAATAGCAAGGGGAGATCAAGTCCCATTATGTAGTATAAGATAATCAGGCAGTCCAACAGGTAAAATGTGTAGATGTGAATAAGCAGACATACCACAGCAGGACGTTCAGGGATAAATCTTGAATACCCACTCTCAATATCTCCTCTAGCCCCTCGGTAAACAAAACTCATTGTTGCAAAAATGCAGAAATTCCACTTGTCTATAAGGTGGTAGATGGTATGCAAACAACTTCTTCTCTTGAAACTTCAAATCCTATGATATTTCAAATGTATGTGAATCAATATTACAAGTCATTTCAATCACACAAAGCATAGAAGCCATGAAATCATGCTTTATTTAAATTGAAATTTACTCAAAATTTAAGGATTACATAGGTTGATTATTAAGCTAAAACACTTGCGCTCACATACTCAATGTCTTATCCACCAATTCCATCTATGGCTGGTTAATGGTTATTCAAAATCAAAATATGTTATTCTACACTCACATGTTGACAATTTCTGAGCCAATGCTTATGCTTGTGGCTAAGATAGAAATCATTTTTTCTACATATGATTCCAAAATTTACCCATCTACCAAAATGCTGTAAGCTCTGAAGTGATCATTACAAAACCACAGATTTCTATCTTGTTAATACAAACCATAACTATAAAAATGTTATAAAACACCTTCAAACTCCAAAGAGAAAGCAACCTAAAAGGAATTGGTATTCAACATGGGAAAAGAAAAAATATCATAAAATTTTCAGTGCCGTTAAAGCTTAACAAATTTGACCTAGTTATGAAATCCGATAGACAATTTGTTTAAGCTTAAAACCACCATATCTCTATCTCTCAGTTTCCATAAAAATAACTTAAAAAAAAAAAAAAAAGCCAAAGCGCCTAATTGTTTATGAATTGCAATGCCATTTACCTTGTCAATTGTCATTATTTTAGTAATTTAATAGTCTTTAAAGACCCACCCTCTAAAGCATAGTTAATACTATATTATGCTGATTACTTTACACATTCTCAGAAGCAAAAGATTCAAACTTTATGATTTAAATTCCTTCCTTTATTAATGATTTGAACATTATTAAAAAATCAAATCCAAATACAGAACCAACTGGAAAATCAAGAAAAAGGAATAAAATTTGAAAGAAAATAAATAAATATAATAGTAACGCACGTAGCCTATATTGCTCACGAAAAAAATGTCGACTTTCGAGGTCTGGTTTGGCTAATGAGAAATCGCAAGGTGAAAACAAAAGAAAATTGTCAGTTTTCCTCCGTTTTCTCAGCAAACAAACAGAATTCAATGCTAAGAGACAAAGAAAAGAAACAATACTTACACAAGAAAAACGAAGATCAATCGTTCAAACGACCGTCCTTTTAACTGCTTAAAATGAGAAATTGGAGAGAGAATAAAAAGATAAAGAAAAGAAAATGCGAGAAAATTCACTCTCTCGCTCCTTTTTTTTTTTTCTTTTTCTTCTTTGCTGTTGCAATTGCGTTCTCTTTCTTTGTCCGAAACTGGCCTGTTGTAGCAATTTCTTTTTCCTTTTCTTTTTCTTTTTGGGTTCTAAATTTTTTGTGAAGAGATAAACTCTGATAGTGACACGTGTCCTTGCTTTGGATCTCAGCTCTGCCACGTCTTGTTACAGCGTGGATGACTTAATCACAGCCGTTCATCCGGCATTTGTCCACATCAGATTTGTGGTGTGAGGATTCATCATCCAAACTTCCAAATATCTCATTCTTTTCTTGCAATATTTTCTATACGGATTAAAAATAATTAAAATATTATTTCAAAATTATGTATTTAATTTATTATATTAATCAAATTAAAAAAACAACACCCTAATTATAATTTTTAAATGTCATAATAATCAATATCCCCGAAATGTAAAACAATATCATTGTATTTAAATTTTGATTGTTTAATTATATTTTAATTTATTAATAGATTATTAGTTAATTATTTAATTAGTTTTATATAAATATAATATTTTATTGTAATTTTTCTAATATTTATAATTTAAAAAAATAAAAGTAATTCAAGCATGAGTGTTCCATGACAGTTTTAATGGTTTATCAAAGCCTCAAACTTGTATTAATTAAGTGATTTTAATCACTCTTTTAAATAAAAAAAATAATTCAAACAATATTTTGGTTAAATAAATAAATAAATAAGTTGGTTAATTGTTGACGACATTTAAGACATTAATTAGATGTTAACAGCTCATCAATAAATTAGTATAGTTTGGAAATGAGTAGTTTCACAACATTAATGGATAACCAGATAGACCGGAGAGCATAGTTTTCTCGCCACCATGTATTGGTTGGTGGAATCTCTTTTTCTTTATTTTCTTCCTTCTAAGTAGATTTAATAAATTTAAATATAATATGATGATATAATATAAAAATAATATAAATAAAATCAATATAAATAATATAATTTTAAAATATAATAAAATTATAAAAATATATTACATAATTTATATTAATATAAATTATAATATATAATTTTTTTATAAAATAAATATATAAAATATTAATATTTTATATAACATAAATACAAAAATTATCAAATTTAATTCCACCGTTCCTCTTTGTCCAAGCTGTGTGCTGTCCCCATGTGAGCCTCATTTGGAAACATGGCTTGAGAGTTGGTCAATACAGCCTTTTACATTTCAGGAAATTCATTGACAAATTGATTTTTTTTTTTTCTTTACCCTTGCAATGTCAGCCACAGCCCACAGATGCTGTAGGAATGAGGTGTTTGGTAATGCGGACAAGTGGGTTGACGGGCAGGATTTGACTAATTCCTTGTCTGGATAAAAGATTTTGTCAAAACTTTGCCGTATCAGCAACTTCAGAATTTATATTTTGCCAGCTTGCATTCCTACTTTCTTTATTTGCTTTCTAACCTTGAGAATTAAGTAATCTTCTACAATTTTTTTATACAAACAAGATTTGATTGAGTTTCCAATCAAACAACATATGCAACTTTATATTTAAAAATAAAACAATTTTTTTTTAAATCTCAAATGTAATCTAATTGATTCATACAATAAAACTTTAAATACTGTTTATAGAAGCTTCTATTTTGACTTTCATCTTCTAACATATGAAGGAGATACATGTAACAAGTTAATTTCCTAGAACTAGTATAAGCCATTAAAGTTAAAAGTGTAAATAATCAAAGTTTTGTGTAAATTATTTGTGAATATATTTTATATATAAATGGGGAAAAGTGTAAAAAAAAAAAATAGAACAATACCCCAAAACCTGTCTGAAACCAAAAGGTTTCTGTTTTTGATCAAACAAAAGCCCAAAATTGTATAGATTCTGTCAGTTCCATCCCTTGTTCTTGCATCGGAATAACAGAGAAATCAAGATGAAATTGCAACTTGAATACTACTATATCAAAATTTCGAATTCTTGCTAATAAAATGCTATTTACGATAATCAAAGAACACATATTTTCCATAAATTCAAAACCCAAAAAAAGTAAAAAAAAAAAAATCTCATTCCAAGACCGAGCTTGAGCTTCTGCTTCTACTTCTTGTAAACCTACCAAACATAGACGTTGAATCACTTCTGGTCAGACTGCCAGATTCTGCAATTCCACGATGAGAATGAGACCTCAAACCCCTCAAAAACGACGTCACACTTCTAATAACTCTCCTGAACCCATTCTCCCTCCTAACCCCAACCCACGAAACTCTCCTCGGAGCTCCATGACCAGAACCCGAGCCCGATTCCCCGAACCCACCATCCATCTCCGTATAAACCAAGGGCACTTCCCTTTCTCCTCGAAACCTTCCCACCGCAAACACCCCACCGGGTAATCTCCATATACTCAACCCCACCGCGTCCGAAACGTTTTCGTTTGACTCGTTTCGATCCGACGGCATTTCATATCGGCAAATGGGACACGAGTTTCGAAGTGAAAGCCATGGGATGATACAGTCTTGATGGTAAATATGCTTACATGGCATCTCCCTAGCTTCCGTCCCAAGCTCGAAAGGCTCCTTACAAACGGCACAGTAAGTTTCTGAACAAACATGGCTCGTCGCTATTTGAATCGTCGGCATTGATTCGATCGCTGATTTCGAAGCGGGCGGGTTCTCCGGTTGCCCTAGTCCGGTTATTTCGATCTGGGAAAGTTGTTCTAATAACCGATCAAAACCCAAACCCATTAGAGACTCGGACATCGAAGTCGGTATGGGCCTTAAACCCAACCCAGATCCGTCATCATAGAGAAATTCAAAGCCGCTGTTGTTGTTATCGCCGTCGGTGGTGCCACGGAGTACGATGATTGGATTGATGTTTGACCGGTCAACGGAACTCCGACGATTTCGACGAAAGACGAGATTTCGTGTCCGATTCGAATTTTGACGGTTATTATCGTTGCTGGTGATCATGAACATAGAAGGGAACCGACGGTTGTGATTATCCGATGTTTCGATCTCCTCGATGAAACCTCCGTCGCAGTACGGGCAAGCAACGGTGTTGTTGGCGCCGTTGTCTAAAGCCAAGACACGAACCAAACGGGTGCAGCTGTAACACCAATATGACGACGTTGAAGACATGCTTGACCGGCTAAAATTCCAGATCCAGAAAAAAGGCAAGCAGGAGTAAAAGAAAAAAGGATTTTCGTGTTTGAAATGTGCTTCACTCGCTTTTAAAGGAAACGAGGCCACCTTAAAGTTTAAACGCCGTAAAATTATCAAGCCACTGGCGATTTATGAGTGGAGAAAAAAATTAACGGCGTTAAAGATTGACCGGTCAAGTGGAGGCTAAGGTTAAAGTTAAAAGTTAGGGTTGACTGGATTCTGGAAACAGTGAAACAGTTAAACTGTCGGGACGCCGAGTTTGAAATTCAAAGTCGGCGAGAAATGAGAGGCGCGTGTGACGTGTTGGTGCGTGGGTGGGCAATGACAGGTACAACTAGGAAGATTCTTGTAAACGAGGCAAAGAGTGTCTTGTTCTGTGTAGGCGCGTAGTATGGACCCACACGCGTCCAATGCCAGTAAAATATGGTCCCACAAACAGTAACTTCTGATTTTATTTCAATGCTAAATTTCGGCATGGTCGATGTGCTAATTCCTTAAATTGAAATTATTAACATTAAATAAAAGTATAAAATTTGTTGAACAAAATTTAAAATGATAACTCTAAAAATTATTCAAACTCATAAATAATACGTCATTTATTGATAAAATTTTAAATTTTAATGATTAATATTAATTTTTTAATAATCTCAAATATTTAAAAAATATTTTTTAATATTTTCAAATATTTAAAAAATATTTTTTAATATTGGCATCTTTAGTCCAATTAAATAAATTTAAATTCTTAAAATTTATCATCAAATTTTAATATAATATTATTTAAGGTGAAAACAGTTTGAATTGAACTGAATTTAATTCGAATTTTTTGAAAAATATATAAAATTATGAAATTTTAAAATTCGATCTAAATTTAGATTGAATTTTTATACGATCTAATCTAAATCAATTTCTATCAGTTCAGTTTGTAACCTTGTTTTATAAATTTTTAAATTTTTTATTTTTTATATATTATTTTAATATAAATTTTAATATATTTAAATAGAATTAGGTATAAAATATTATTTTTATTTAAAAAAATTTTTAAAAATATATAATTTGATTCGATTTTTTTTATTTTTCACTTTTTGATTGAAAAATCGGTTTAAACCGAATATATATATTTAATATCTAAATTTAATTTAAATCGAATAAAAAAATCGATATAATTCAATCTGAATTAAATTAAATATTACTATTATCGATTTTCTCAAAATTTTTCTCACCCCTAATATTATCGTGTATTTTTACAAATTTGAGCATGTGCAATAAATTATTATTATTATTATTTGTAAAAATATATAAATTAAATTGAAGTAATATTTTTATATATTATTATGAGTAATAGTTCATGGTATTAAGTTAATGTGGCATAACATTTGAGATTTAATTTAATTATCATCAACTGGAATTTTTACTTTTTTTTTATGCATCACAATGTGATCATGATGACATTTTCTTTGATGATCATAACTCCATCCATAATGATAATAAACAGACCATACAATGTTGTCTCCGAAAGCACACCTCCAAAGAAAGAAATAGGCATGTGTTTGTCCTAAGATTTCATTTGGACGATTATGATAAATTAAAAATAGTAATAAAAATTAATATAATTATGATTAAAAAAATTTGATAAAAATTTTTATGTTAAATTACTCTCATTGAAATTAATAGTTTAATTTAACCGATAATACAATGAATTCAATTATATTATATCAAATATGCGGTGGAATCCAAATGAACACTAAGTTTAATGGGCAAAACTTAATTAAGTAAATTTTTGTTTAAAAAAAAAAAAAAAACAAGTCTCCCTTATTTTCATTTTCACTACGGTCCATATGGCAAGACCAAGGAATGCGCTTATTTCCATTTGTTAATTGACAAAAAATAAAACATTAGCTCTAAAATCAATTTTTTTTTTTTTAAATTCGAGGATAGATAGATTATTTGGTCATTTAGATCAATGTAAAATGTGTTGTATCTGACAACCTAAGACAAATAACTATAAAATCAAAATTTAAAATCGTAATAAAAATAAACTTTTGTTTGTTTTACCGAATGAATTTATATTTGATATATCGTTCGTGCATAAATTTTATAAATCTTTTAAAAAAAAATTAATAAGGTGATATTATATAATTTATTAATAATTATGAAATTTATATGATGATGATGTATTTAATATAAATTATTTATAATATTTCTCTAAAACAATCTTTTTTGGTATATTGTTAAGTCAAATGTTTTAAAGATGCCTGCTTGCACCTTATTTATTATTCCAATTTAGTGCCTGGACAAAATGGAGAATAAACAATAATATTTTTAGATAAATCAAATAAAAGTATTGAAAAACCAGTTTTTGAAAATACTTGTTATTAGGATTCCAATATTCAAATTAATCTCATTTCAATAAGCTAACGTTTTATTGCAAGAATAGAACTCTCTTTTAAAGAGAATGCATAAATTTATTGGGACTTAAAAGACAAACATCGACTGTGGCCAAAGAAAATGGGAAAGAAAATAAATAAATAAATAGAAAGTTCGACAAATAATTTGCGAATAAATTTTAGTTTTGTTTGTTTATATTGATTTAATAAATTTAATAACCGATCGATCATTAATAATATTTCAAGATTCGTAATTAAGAGTCGTTTGATATTATCGTGAATTTTATATTTTTAAAAATTTTACTTTGTTTTATTTTTATTTTACTGAAATTGAAAACATACTTGAAAATTATATTTTTGGTGCAAAAATATTAAAACAAGAGACCATAATGGGAAGTGGTTGAGCGTATGATTTATTGATTGGTAGGGGTTTAAACTTTTAACCCAAGTTTTGGCAGCTTTGATGATCATCTTTCAATAATTTTGTTTTCAATTCTCAAAAAAAAAAAAAAAAAACCACGAAACAAAAATATTTCCAAATGACCCTTAAACAAATATACCGTAAACATAACAAAATTTATTTATATTCGATTCATTTACGATTTTAAACGAGTAGAAGAAAATATTATAATATATATATATTTCTATATTGGTATGGTAACTGTTGTTTCACCTCTGTCTAATTTGGGTGACAGATAAAAAGATGAAAATTTTGGATATGCATTCATTGGTGTTTGTTTTTCCCAATTTCCATTTTCTTAAAAGCAAATGGTGCCTAAGTTTTGGTTCTAGTGCAAGTGCACGCCTTAAAAGTAACACTAACAAACATTTTGTTTGCAACTCCTATATCAATAATGATTGAGACTTCACTTTGAGGCCCCTTTTTTTTGGAAGATCTTGCTTGTTACAAGGTCATGTACATCATAATTCACTACAAATGAAATTAAAGTATAAATATATGATGACATTTTAATCTAAAATCATCAAATCCTACATATAGCATAGTCTTAATTTAAACAAATATTTAAAAATGTGACTTAAGTCACACTTGTTTATCATAAAAAATTAAATGTCAACAATTTTTTTATTAAAAAAATGGATTAATTGAACTTTTACTCAATTATTTAAGTAAAATAAATACATAAATTTATATATTTTTTAGTATAAAAAAACCGTAATCAACTAACCAAAAATAAAATTATAAATATTAAAATTTGAGCATCAGATCTGCTTGATGTTATATCTTAAAAATAATTGAATGAATCAATTTAATTAAATTTTAAATTTCATATAAGTAAAATCACAAATCCTTCAATGCAAAAATGGTTTGCTATTATTAAGGGTTTTTGTTTTTTAATAAATTGTGAATGGACATTTTTTCCATATACAAGTAAAACTCATAATTTATTGCTTTGATGTCATAAGGATTCTCATAATTTAGGACACGTGACATATTTTGGCATCAAATTTTTTTATGGGTACTTTTTTATAATTTGATTTGCATCTCATCTTACTTAATTATTAATAACCTTATTTAAGTTTACTTTTAATCGGATTTTCTTGACTTTGCAAATTGAATTAGTCTTAAGCTAATTATTATTGAAGCCCATTTCCCTGTCTCCCTCTTTCTCATTGTTCTCAAAATTTGAACTTACTAATTAATACCATTTAAATATAGTTTGAGAATTAGTCAATACATGTGATGATCTTAAGACGTGTACCTACTTACCATATCAAAGTTAATGCTCACACATTCAAGCTTGGCTAATCAATTAACTTGTGATTTAGGGTTTAAAATTTAATCTCAAAATAATACGATGATATGTTAAAAGTCATTTTAAAAAAATATTTTTTTGAATACATAAAATATTGTAATACGATATAAAATAAATTATAAATATTAAAATTTAAATTTATTAAATATTATATTTTAAAAATAATTATATGAATTAATTGAATTAAATTCGAGTTCACTTTCAAGATTTTGATGCCTAATTATAATCACCACATAATATTGGAGGAAAATGGAGCGTTTTCATATGGGAATTTGACTTGGACAAAGCTTCATAAAGTGGTTACGGTCCAAAATTGTGACGCTTTTTTCTTTTGTGACCCGCTCCTTTCCCCTTTCACTTTTTTTCCAAAGTGAAAGTAGCTTTCGACATTTCACAAGAAAAAATAAAAGAAAAAGGCCAAAAGTATATTCTTGTGAAATGAGCAATGGCAGAGACATAATCAAAGTGCTGTTTCGTGTCATTTTCTGCATAAAAATATCCTTGTAATAAGAAAGCAAATTTTTTTTTCTTTTTTTGGTTTTTTTTTGGGCTGATTTTGTCATAAATTTCCTTTGAATTTAATGGACCCAGGCCGTGCATATGCTTGACCAACCAAGCAAGATGCTTGACCTAGGTCCAATTAAATGTTTGATTTCTTGGTCTGAGAAAACATTGGGTCGGGTCTAACCTATTTGTTTCACTATCTGCAGCCTTGCTGGTAATTATAAATCTTGAAAATTTTCATGAATTGTATCACAAAATTATAAATAATTTACGTATTTATTTTATATAAAATATTAAAAATTTATATATTTATATAATATTTTATATAAAAATTACATATCATAATTTATGTTAACACAAAAATATTAAATATATATATTTTTTATTTTATTAAATCTAATTTTTGTTAAAA